TGTCCGTGCATCCACCCCATGCGCCCTGGGTGTCCGTGTGTCCATCCCATGCACCTTGCGCTTGTCCGTGCATCCACCCCATGCGCCCTGGGTGTCCGTGTGTCCATCCCATGCACCTTGCGCGTGTCCGTGCATCCACCCCATGCGCCCTGGGTGTCCGTGTGTCCATCCCATGCACCTTGCGCGTGTCCGTGCATCCACCCCATGCGCCCTGGGTGTCCGTGTGTCCATCCCATGCACCTTGCGCGTGTCCGTGCATCCACCCCATGCGCCCTGGGTGTCCGTGTGTCCATCCCATGCACCTTGCGCGTGTCCGTGCATCCACCCCATGCGCCCTGGGTTTCCGTGTGTCCATCCCATGCACCTTGCGCGTGTCCGTGCATCCACCCCATGCTCCCCGTGTGTCCAACCCATGCACCTTGGTTGGTTGTGTGTCCTCCCCGTCTACTCTGTGTGTCCGTATGTCCACCCTGTGCACCCTGGCTGTCCGCGTGTCCACCCCAAGCACCCTGTGCACCCTGCACCTCCACCCCATGCACTCTGGGTGTCCGTGTGTCCATCGCGTGCACTCTGCGTGTGTCCGTGCATCCACCCCATGCACCCTAGGTGTCTATGTGTCCACCCCGTGCACGTGTCCATCTGTCCACCCCGTGCTCCCTGTGTGTCCAACCCACGCCCCTTGGCTGTTTGTCTGTCCTCCCCGTGTACCCTGTGTGTCTGTATGTCCACCCTGAGCATCCCTGTGCCCACCCCAGACGCCCTGCCCACCCACCCTGTGCACCTTGGGTGTCCCTCTGTCCCCCCCAACGTGCCCCGTTCACCCAGGGGTCCTCCCCACCCCGTGCCCCCCGTCTGTCCGTCTGTCCCCGCGCCCCCAGCGCCACCTCTCCCCCCTCCAGCAAGCCCGTCTACACGGTGCTGGTGGTGCTGCTCCTCGCGTCCATCACCTTCCCACCCGGGCTGGGGCAGCTGATGGCCTCCAGGGTGAGTGGGGCGGCGGGGGGGACACGGGGCTCCCCAGAGCACCCCAACCACGTCCCAGCGGGTGCTCAAGTTGTCCGTCTGTCCTTCCAGCTCACCATGAAGGAGTATCTCACCTCCCTCTTTGACAACCGCACTTGGGGCCAGCTGGTCCTCAACGCCTCCTCGGTGGCCGACCTTCACGGCGGCGGCGTGGACCCTCGGGGGCTCTGGCAGGAGTGGTGCCACCCCTCTGCCACCATCTTCGGCACCTTGGCCTTCTTCCTGCTG